AAATGGTTCAAACTGTGCTAAGCTCAAAGTTAGAGCAGGTGACTTGGGGTTTTGTCCAGTCAAGATTTGAGTAAATACTAAGGATGGATGCCATGTGCCCCTGCACCAGCTGCAGATCCCCAGTGGAAAGTCAGCACAGCTGGAATCAAAGAAGAAGGAGTTGTCTTTAATGGCCAGCTGTAACCTGGAATGTTTTGTTGCTTTCAGCAAGGTATTGATGTGCAATGTGAACTCAGAGGGTCACAGGAACAGGGACACAGGCAGAATTACTAAGGATGAGGAAAAACACACAAAAGGTATAGCACAAGGGAAAACCTCAGAAAGGAAGAGGCACAGCATGAGAATAGTGAGTTCATAAGTATTATGAATAAGACCTATTCCCTAGTCACAAGCAAATCAGATTTAAGCCTTATTTTATTCAAAATTTATTTCTTTCAGTGGTCAGGTTTCGAGAAGATGGCAAGTAGAAATCTGCAGTCTCCGTTCTACCTATTTTCACTATTCAAAAATGAAAATAAAACATAAAACCCAAATCTGCCACCTCTGTTGGATTTCATTTAATTAGATTCTTTTCTCCGCATTTTGTCTACAAAAGTGTCCTCGTAGGTGCAGTTTGATTCAGACAAAATGTAGAAGTTAATGATCAGTCTGAGTTTGTCCATCAAGCAGAGCTTAACTAAACGACAAGTGTAATTTTGATCCTAAAGTACAAAGATATTTTTTATGTAAACATATATAAACATTAGCTTGGCCTATATACACTATGAGATTGCACCGACAACATTGTTTCTTAGCAATATCAACAGTTTAGATTAAATTTATCATAAGATCATGAGTTACTCAAAATCTTGTTTATATATTGCTATAGACAGATCAGCTGATGATTAATGAGGGGGCAAGCAGTGCTCTCTAGTTTTCTCTGTTAATTAGATACATAATACCTTCTAAAACACTATTAGTTTATTCATTTTTCGTCCTTCAAGAATATCCATTTTACAGAAAAACCTACACATAAAAAAACATTCAGGTGCACCTGCACTGCATGGAAGACATATCTGTGCGTATTAAAACTGTCAGAAATTTTCTGCAGATGGGTCATCTGCAGCTGAAACAGCACCAGGGGCCCATTGCCTCCTTTTCCCGTTCTTACTACTACACTGCAGTTTACCAAACCAAAAATAATGTGTGTATGTGTGTGTAGCCCTCTGCTTGGGAATTTAGAAGCTGCTCCCATTGAGATCCATAAGATTGCACAAAACCTCTGCTTGGGAATTTAGAAGCTGCTCTCAATGGGAGAGCACAAAGATGTTAAGGACCTACTCTGAGGTTTATTGTGAAGAGGAATTAATCTTTGCAAACAACCCTTGAAGATGAAAATGCTATGTCATTAACCTTCCTGACCTAACAGGAGTTCTCCTAATGCCCTCTGACACAAACACAGAATATATATACACTATGAAAAAATACAAATTAACTTCTAAGATAATAAATATTTATAACATGCAAATGAATTTGCAAGTATGTTAGTACACTGTACACACTCTGGTGACATTTTGCATATTTAAGACTTTTTTTTAGGTTTTTTAGGTGTTAGCAAATGCTTAATGTTTATCTTTTTATACCAAAGTAATTTAAATTAAAAATTAATTATATATAGTAGAACATAATATAGCAAAAATGGAACAACCACTATTATTGTCTTATACAGTAAGAATATTTTACAAAGAAAGAATTGAAGGTTTAACAACTTCAGCAATCTGACTAAGAGATTATTCCCAGATGGTTTATAATTGAAAATATAAACACTCAGTTATTCTGCAGCTTCATCCATGCCTTTTATTTACTGTAGTAAATAACACTCGCAATTAGGGGTTTGTTTCTTTTTTGCTACATTTTGAGATTCAGGGAATTTCCTCCTTTTTCATGAGAAAATATGACTTTTATTATGACAAAATGAGTTATGCTATGAATATTTTAAAAGGACTCAGTCGTTCAGTCAGGGAACAGAAACAATAGCGCCTGTCTCAATTCAGTTAGTGAAACTTCATCATGTAAGAAACATAGAAGTGACTGAAAAGCCTGTGGCAATCCAGGCACACCTTGATATATGCCTTTGCCAGCTTGGTACCCTTTACTGTGCCTGTAGGAAGTACCAGCGGGTATGGAGATCAGGTGGAATATGGTGGTGGGAATGGCTATTCCGATGGATAGGTAGAGAGGGAGTTGGAAGGCAGGCAGGGAGGTAATGATAACCCCAGCACTATCATAGAATCATAGACTCCTGAAGGCTGGAAGGGACCTCTAGAGATCATCTAGTCCAACCCCCCTGGTCCAGCAGGTTCACCTAGAGCACGTGGCACAGGACTGCGTCCAAGCGGGTTTTGAAGATCTCCAGAGAAGGAGACTCCATCACCTCTCTGGGCAGCCTGTTCCAGGGCTCTGTCACCCTCACTGTTAAAATTTTTTTCCTTAAGTTCATGTGGAACTTTTGGTGCTTCAGTTTGTGGCCATTACCTCTAGTTCTGTTGGTGGCCACCACTGAAAAGAGACCAGCCCCATCCTCCTCACTGCCTCCCTTGAGGTACTTATAGACACTGATCAGGTCCCCTCTCAGCCTTCTCTTCTCCAGGCTGAGCAGGCCCAGCTCCTTCAGCCTCTCCTCATATGGCAGATGTTCCAGGCCCCTGATCATCCTTGTAGCCCTGTGCTGGACTCTCTCCAGCAGCTCCACATCCCTCTTGTACATAATTTATAGGTAGTGAGAGAGAGTGTTTATTAGTAAGTCAATGTTCCATATCAGTGGGTGTTTAATATTTGTTGATACTTCTTTTCTGTGCCTCAGGTGAATGTAGATGCATTTTAATTGAAATAGATGAGAAAAAAATGTAAAGAAGACTGTGCGTTAAGCAGCATACAGCACAGGGTGAATCAACAGTTAGGGAGAAAAATACCTCTCCTCTCCTCTTCTACCCCAAAGTCTGCACCAACAGAAAGGTACTAGCAGGAGGTAGTGCCTCTCCGGAGGTCTGTTTTTCTAGCTGTTGTTGTAGACTTGCTAATGGCATCAGTACTCATATGCACATGCAGTGTCATTTGATGCTGGGGTCAGCAAGTATGTGTATAAATGGAGTAACAGACATGAATTAAAAGTTTCAGAGTGATCTATGGTCCATCTGCTTTCAAAATATCTCTGGCACAGCTGCTTCACTTCCATGTATTAATGATGGACTGTTTTGACACAAACCAGTGTCAAAAAGTCTGTAATCTTGCACTCGTCAGCCACACTCACCTGTAAACGTCACACTCAGTAAGTGGGAGAGAGCCAAGTCCACAATACCGGGTGCTTTAATTCCATAAAGCATATCTTTGCAATCTCTTGCACTCACTCAATTTCTCTAATTTAGAAATTCCTTCTACGTTAGAAATCACTACATGTTTTATAGGAACATTATAAGGGAAAGTAGTGTGTGTAATCATGAAAGGAAAGGAAAGTAGTCGATATAAGATGTTGATTAGTGTTACCAAAATCCTGTGAACACCTACTGCATAGACATTTCCCATCTCACCATGAGCCAAGCCGTTTATTTGCCGTAGGCACCCAGTGACAAGTCTTGATTCGTTTCTTTCCCAGAATGCAACACCTGGCAAAAAGCCATTAAAAGTGAACTACTGGGTCAGACGAGATGTGCTCTCCTGTCTCTGATACAGACCAGCAGCGGATGCAGAGGGAAATGGCACAAAATCAGACAAGCATGAAATAATACTGTGCTTGCACATCTTCCAGACTTCCCATACTCACTTCCAGCTCATGCAGATTTTTAAACATACTGCAGCTCTTCTGTGTTCTTAGCCATTATTGCAGGTACCATCAAGGGTATGCTAGTACACATCTGAGCTCCCTTTCAGCATATTTTAGTGCTGTGTGGCTGAACTTCCTGGGCTACATCCCAGATAATTATAAAAGGACAGATTGCTAATAGAATAATAGAATGGAATCATAGAATGCTTAAGGTTGGAAGGGACCTCTAGAGATCATCTAGTCCAACCCCCCTGCACACGCACGGACACCTAGAGCTTGTGGCACAGGACTGCGTCCAGGCAGGTTTTGAAGATCTCCAGAGAAGGAGACTCCACAACCTCTCTGGGCAGCCTGTCCCAGGGCTCTGTCACCCTCACTGTTAAGAAATTTTTCCTTAAGTTCCTGTGGAATTTTTAATGCTTCAGTTTCCAGCTGTTTCCTCTAGTTCTGTCGGTGGCCACCACTGGAAAGAGGGCAGCACCATCCTCCTCACTCCCACCCTTTTGTCCAGTTCTGGGCTCCACAGTACAAGAGGGATGTGGAGCTTCTGGAGAGAGTCCAGCGCAGGGCCACTAGGATGATCAGGGGCCTGGAACATCTGCCCTATGAGGAGAGGCTGAGTGAGCTGGGCCTGTTCAGCCTGGAGAAGAGAAGGCTGAGAGGGGATCTAATCAGTGTCTATAAGTACCTCAAGGGAGGGAGTGCAGAGGACGGTGATGGTCTCTTTTCAGTGGTGGCCCCTGATAGGACTAGAGGAAATGGCCGGAAACTGAAACACCAAAAATTCCATAGGAACCTGAGGAAAAATTTCTTAACAGTGAGGGTGCCAGAGCACTGGAACAGGCTGCCCAGAGAGGTTGTGGAGTCTCCTTCTCTGGAGATCTTCAAAACCCGCTTGGACGCAGTCCTGTGCCACGTGCTTTAGGTGTCCCTGCGTATGCAGGGGGGTTGGACTAGATGATCTCTAGAGGTCCCTTCCAACCCTAAGCATTCTATGATTCTATGATTCTAAACTTGCTGAGGGAGCACTCTGACTTGCTGAGGGAGCACTCTAATAGCGAATCTCTTTGGTTTGGAGGACAAAATGTTGTAGACTGTGAAAAGAGAAAGGAGGAATCCTGTTTTCTGACATGATGCATTTGAATAGCCCTGGCCTCTCTCAGTTTAGTCAAATAATGCCCCCTGCTGAGGTCCACGGTACCATCCCACTGGTAAAGCTGCCCATTACTGGTAACCAGTAACCTGATTTTTTTCCACACCCTGCGACTGTAAGTCCACTGGCAATGACTTCAATTCTCTTTATCCCTGTTTCTTCATCTGTTAAAATATGAAAACGATGCTTGCTCATCTTGGCAAAGCGCTTAGAAGTCAACAGATGAAAAGCTGAAGTACCAGCTTCTGGTCAAAAGGGAAGCAAAAACTGGCAAAAAAAAAAAAAAATAGCCAAGTGGCTACAGACCTCTGAAATGGCTTGAGTCTAATTTCCAGCTCTAATTCAGTCACTATCCTCTGTTTGTAACCACCTATTGCTTTAGTCTAGCATTCTAGTTTTACAAATATGACAATGCGTGCCTGTCCTGACCCTTGTATTTTAACACCAAAATGTGTTTGAAGCCCAAGTTGCCATTCTCCAGTCAGTTGTGCTGCATGTTATTTTAGGAATAACCCTTGCAATCCTGAAGAAGCAGCCAAAGCAATTACACAAAATGGAAAAGAGAGATTTTAAGACAGATTTAATCTTGTGCTTTTTAATACAAGGCTGTAAACAGAAACAATGTGTTGAAATGTTGATGGAAAGTTGCCAAGGACTCTTTAACAGAGCACTGTGGGGAGGAATTCCTATCATATCCCTTCATGAGACATTAAGATTCACAGCAGAACCAAAGGACAAGCTTTGCTCATACTTCTCTATGCTGCTTGGTTAGCAAATGTGTTAGCTGTTTTTGTGTAGCTACCTCACATGTAGTTTTTTCATCGGTGCATCTGAAAGCAACTACTTCTACCAATTGCTGCTTCTTCAGCAACTTCACACGACCTCGCTGAGCAAGGAGGAACTCATCAGTCAGAGGAGTTTTCACTGAGAGCTGCAGCAGAATAGCAAACCTGGTGTGGGGGGTAATGGAGCTCATTTGCCTGCTCCAATAGTTTTATTGCTGCTGTGCTGCGATCCAGGAAAGGGCTGAGGAGTGATGACAGTGTTAGTAACGTATGAGCTGGAAATTGAATTTTGTCTGTAAAGTAATGTGCAAACTGAAGTTTTCTGCTGATTTCCAAAGCTGCGATGCTTTTCTTTCTCTACGCTCTGAATGGGCACATCCAGCTCCTTGCAGAGCCAGCACGGGTTGCCACCCCTTCCCCAGGTAGCAGGCACAAGGAAGCGGACAGTTTGGAAATCCGTGTGTTTTGGCTGCCAGCCGATCCCGCTGTGTGTCGGCGTGGATCGATGCGCTCGATGAGCGGGATGGCCACCTGTGAGTGGGGAGGGAGAGCAGCGTGAAAGAGAGAAGCCGAGGGGCTCAGCGGAGCGCTCTGCTCTCGCCTCCTCGCGGTCTCCACCCTCGGTGTGAGCGTGAGGCGACGCGGCTCCTCCTGGAGAGCGGCGGTGCCCGAGCCCGCACGGCGCCAGGCACAGCACAGGGCAGCGGGCAGCGCGAGGGGCTCTGCCTGCCCTCCCTCCTCCTCCATAGAAGGAGAGCATCCCCACAGGGTCTGCTTCTATGAGCACCTCAAGCCAGCCGTGGAAAAGCAACTTTTAACCTGTGCAAATGAAATGTCAGCTGAGAAGGATCTACCCACCTGGTAACTGAATTTACAGAGATGGAAGGTACGGTGCCTGAGGAGGAGAGGAGGATCAGGCCTCAACGGGACAGTGAAGATGATACCCCAGGGCTACGTGCTCTCCACACTCCATCCCGGGCCATGCGGAACACGTGGTGAGACCAAGGGTCTGGAGGCAGCAGCTCCCGGATGGTGAAGATGGAGAATGGCACGAGGGACGAGCAGAACCAAACTGGGCTGCTGGTAACCAGCCAAGAGATTGTTACCGCTGAGTACCAAGTGGTCACCATCCTTCTGGTCCTTATCATCTGTGGCCTGGGAATCGTGGGCAATATCATGGTGGTTTTGGTGGTCCTCAGGACCAAACACATGCGGACTCCCACAAACTGCTATCTGGTGAGTCTGGCTGTGGCAGATCTCATGGTGCTGGTGGCTGCAGGACTGCCCAATATCACAGAGAGCCTGTATGGATCCTGGGTGTACGGCTATGTGGGATGTCTCTGTATTACTTATCTCCAGTACCTAGGGATCAATGCTTCTTCTTTCTCCATCACTGCCTTCACCGTTGAGAGATACATAGCCATCTGTCACCCAATCAAAGCTCAATTCCTATGCACTTTTTCAAGAGCCAAAAAGATCATTATTTTTGTCTGGGCTTTCACCTCCATATACTGTATGCTCTGGTTTTTCCTGCTGGACCTCAATACAGTAGTCTACAAAGACACTACTGTTGTGTCCTGTGGCTACAGGGTGTCCAGGAGCTATTATTCTCCTATCTATATGATGGATTTTGGTATATTTTATGTTGTGCCAATGGTACTGGCAACTGTCCTCTATGGGCTGATTGCTAGGATTCTGTTCCTGAACCCAATGCCTTCGGATCCAAAAGAAAAGTCTAAAACGTGCAGGAATGACCTGGCTCACCAAAACAAGCCGGTGAACTCCAAGATGACCAACAGAATTTTCAATAGCACTGTTGCCTCTAGACGACAGGTAGGAAACTGCATTTGATATGGTTTTCTGAAACCTACCCCACCCTTCTTTTTGAGATCACATTTAGAAAGAAGTAAAACATACTATTGCTTTTTATAATGTTGTCAAGCTGAAATAATGATACATATATAATTATAAATGATCTTTTTTTTTCTTGCCTAAATATTATTGCCTCCTGCTAGAACTGGGGCAAATGATATTTCATTTCCTATATCAAAAAGCAATTAGGAGGCATCAATAAAGAATGAAACATATTTTTGACTGTACTTTCCTCATGCTACAATCTGTCAGTAATGCTGTCAAATACAGCAAGTGACTCTTGACTTATTTTTGAGAAGGAAAAGAGAAGAAAATTGCCTGGTAGTTTAGCAGACTTGAGGTTTAACAGGTTTTGAGTGCTAAGGCACTGTGTCACTGCATGAACAAAGTGAAGTTTTACTTCTGTCTCTGATTTCCTTGCTACGAAACAGTCTATTTAAGCAAGTCTATATATGAAAATGCTTTATAAATGTTAAGTATCTTTGTTATTCTTTCTTTCAGGGAATATTAGTATGCACCAATGGCTCACAACTGAAGCATAAATCTGAACTGGCTGCTTTATATTTTTACTTAGGGGTGTTCCAATGTGTAATTATATCACAAGAATACAGATAATAGAATAAATGCTTTAAAGTTATTCATAGTGAAGCAGGGTACCACACATGCACACAGCATGGAGGAGCACAGTCCTGATAACTGCAAGGTGCGTTACTGCAGGTTACACTGCTGAGAGGCTCAGCCCTTTGGGCAACCTGAGTGCACCCTGAGTGATGGGTCGAGCTTTATTTTCTTATTTCTTTATGTAGACATCCAGATTTTTTCTAAAAGTTACTTGAAAGATTAAGGTAGCTTCATTATGAGTAAAGTTAGCATATGCATACAGTACAATATAGGAAGCAAAGCAAGGATAATGTGACATTATTAGTAATAGTAATACTATTTATAAAATAGTAGCATTCAAAATATACCAAGTGGGGTAAATTGGGAAAACATAAGTCTGTATTCAGATAATCTAAAGTCTTAACAGCCACTGAGACACAGATTTCCCACTGTTTTAGAAAAGAGTTAATACAGGTATAAATGACAGTGTGTTTTGGCCCCATAGTGAATTCTACTCCCATTTAAAGATATACGCACACATACATACATTTAGTGCTTGCACTAAAGTAACAGTTGCATGTGGTCTTCAACATGTGACCCACAGGAAAAGTGACAAAAAGCATAAAGTTCCTACTTATGTGGAAATTCTCCTTTTTATCTAAGAATATTTCTACAAAATGAAATTAATGCATGCACCATTGAGTTATTACAATTAATTATTATAGTTGACTTATTATGAGCTCATATTTATGTGATGTACCAGAATAAAGCAGTAAGTTGGATAAGATTCCTGAATATTTATTCAGGTTTAACCCAAGGTATTTCATAACCATTTTTGACTGTGATTACCCTGTCATGGTAAAGTATGTGAATTCATTTACCCATGTAGTTGGACTTGGTTTGCTTCACTAAACTAGATTTAGTTTGGCCCACACGAGCATATTATACCATTTCCTTTAATTTTCTTGGGCTTCCCATTATGTCCAAATGTCCTATCAACAATTTTAAAATACCCATTTGCTAATACTACTTAAAATGGGCTAAGATTTTTTTTTCCCTCTAATTTGTCATATTGTCACTGTGTTTTAGTTCAGGAGCATCTTCTGAAGCTGTTTCTAATTCATTACAGAACTCAGTACTTCTGTTTTTTGGAAAGTTTTTACTATATATACAAACATACATAGTGTATTTTGTTAACTGTCTGTCTACATTAGCTTCCAGGAGTTAGACCTAGATTTCTATGTATAGTCACTGCTTTTTAGTGTAACTTACATATTATTATAACACAATTTCAATTATTTTCTTGAAAAAAAAAGTAAATGCAGCTCTTAGGTCTACGATATGAGAGGTAAGTAGAATTAGAAGTAGAATTAGAAGTTGACTGCAAATGTGAAGACCAGCTTGGAAATCATGTTGGATTCAATACCTCAAGCCTGACACCAATGGAGAAAGCAAGACAAGGGAAGAGCAACCTTGATATAGCATCTAGAAGAGCTCTCTGACTAAGGAGGCAGCAAATACAGTGTAAAATAATGATTTCCCCACAGCTGTGTAAGACAGTTGCTTGAGCTGAGGCAGGGAGGCATATGGCAGCTTGTCAATGAGAGGAAGAGGAGGGAGAGAGACTGCTGCTGCACACACAGCACTGATGGACTAGGCTTGCTTTCCTTAGAACATATATTTTGAGCTTCTGGCATAAACAGATTCAATGCTAGTTGCAAAGGGAGGAAAAAGAGGCTGAGGACTTTTGTTTTCAGAAGAAAACAGGGGTTTAGATCATCTTATGATTTAGAAATGAGGGCTAAAATATTTCTGAAGTAGTGAATCAAGCCTATTTCAACTTATTTTTCCTGTGAGTGCTCTAGAAATGAGCCCAGAATGAGATGGTATTACACCACCAATGAACAGTAATCAGTTCTTCCAGGTAGAAAGTGGTCT